ATTCGATCTTCTTGGGGAGCTGACATAAGTTCACCGCGGAACTTCGTACCAGTTGCCTTTCGGACACCTTGCATGTATGGATAAAAAGTAAGTTAACTAGAACTGTCGTATTGGGAATTAATGAAGGCATAACACCGCCCAAATGAAACAAAAAACAATTGCAATATGCCCAACAACATGTTGAAGTGGCCACGTGTACAATGTTTGATTGACATCAGTTAATTAGTTCAGAAGGAATTGTTCGAAAAGTTATTTTCTCCGGACAGACCGACACACAGACGGACACGTTGATTCCCTAAAAAACCCTAACTTCGTTGCGGCGGTACAATGAACTCATAATCTAAAGAAATGATATTCACGGGGGTTTTCAAAAGCTATTCATAAGTAGATATTTACTTATTTAGATGTTTGAGATCTGTAAATTACAAAATGGCGACTGTGAGACCATCTTTGATTTCTGAATGAGGTTATATTATTGGATGTTGTGCTGATCAAACACACAACTAGTTTTACAAACAGCACTTATAAATATGGGTAAATAGTCTTAAATAGGGTTAACTATCTAAATTGCGGCCAATCAGAGGACTCCAATCCGTTGCTATCGTAATTAAATGTGCTTTGTGAGCAAATATCTTTCTATCTAAATATCTTTTAACAAAATCGAACAACTAAATTTCGAACAATCAGATGCCTAGGTTACATGGTCATGATGGTAAGGCAACCTATTCGGTTTAGTCCTGAAATACAATGTACCTAAATACCAAATATTTGTGTTCTAACAGCATTGGCGTAAATCAAGTACTTTGCTGTATTCATATTGATAATAGGGTCTTGCGATAACAGGAGTGTTTTTAACTTCAGAAGATTTGGAATGATGTAAAATTTAGATTTTATGTAAATTTGCCTAAGATGGCTATAACCTGGACAAATCAACAAAAAGTGATATTCATTTTCGATATGGTTTAGGTTACCAACTTTCCATTTTTCTAAATTCACGAGTAATTTTGAAATGTCGTCCACGTTCAATTTCTAAAGTGGAAAAGTCAATGTGGTCCTGAATTTATTTACAGTTATACTACTCATATAGTTATCATATGAAATGGATGTTTTAAACTGTGCATAAGACATTTGGGGGCTTTCGGATAGATCACTATGCCAAACCTGAAAAAGTTATCTTTTAACCGCTGACGTAACATATTTTAAAGAAGGTTTTATTACCCCATGTTTGAAAATACTAGACCAAATCACCAAATCCTAATCTGAAAATAACAGTTTTAAGTTTCGTTACCCAATTTACGTGGCCTTGTTCATCGTACAACCGCAACATATTGTAATATTTTTGGGTAAACGAGATTCCTTCATATTGAAAAGGGCAAAGAGCATATTTCAAAACAGCAAACGACTGAATAGAACATCTGCCACACTCAGTTCTATGTCACTGAACCCCCAAATTTCAGCCCCGTATAACAGTATTGGTGTTATCAAATAATTTGAAGTAAAAGTGAGGCGAGCATGGTTTCAAGGAATGTTTACTGATTAACAGGACCATGAACACCTTTCTTGCCCGAATTGAAATATTATTTTAAGCATTCGACCTCTGTAATCTATTGCAAAAATACAAACCAAGATAACTGTATCAAGTAACTACCTCAACCGCATTTCCATCATAATACCATTTTTCATTACGTGATAAACCTGCCCCATTTTCGATAGATTGACTGACATTTCCCATTTACAACAGTAATCATGCAAGAACAACTTCATTTGAAAGTTGTTCACAGTATTGCAAAACACAATAAGGTCTTCCGAAAATAGAAGTAGAAAAATATGAACACCGAAACGACAGTTTTGTTCAATTTCAATAACTAATTCGTTTTTTAAAAAAATGAAACAAAAAGGGACAAAGCATACACCCTTGCCACACACCCATGAGGCAACTGAATGTACCATATAATCTGTTGTTTGAACGAACACAACTCTTTACATTACTGTACATGGATCGTAACATTTTACTTAGTTTAGCACTCAAACCATGTTTGTACAATAGCTGCAATAGATGAGGCTGAATGGAGAAACCAATAAATGCTGCATAAACGTTTCCTTATTTTCGTGAAAGATAACGCTGAATGACAGAGTTTAAAACAAAACAGTTATCAATAGTTGAATAACCTTTTCGAAACCTCGACTGACATTCAGATATTTTATAAAGTGTTGCAGCCTAATACACTTGTCTTCTGTTTATATAAGATATAAAGACTTTATAGCCTTATAATTATCAGGAACAGAGGCATCCTCTTTCTTATGCAGTGGGATAATTATCCCAGTAGCCCTACATTCAGGGACATTAAATGCTGTTAAAAATTATTTCTAAATTAGGTTATATAACAGCGGACGAATATTGAGATATTCACTACGAATGTCAAGACCAGCTGATTTATTATTTTTCTTGGGACTGATGCTTTCAAAATGTTCTGATCTGGTGATTGGGGAATCTAATATGTCAATTGTCAGTTCTTGCACATAACCTTGACATGTCACTTTGTCCTCCACCTCACCAAGATTATCCTGAATACCATCTGTTCAGATTACAGACGAGAAATAGTTCCCCAAGTCTTGTAAATCAATAGGGTTGGGGCGTTGCGGTCGTCCAGACACACGCTTTATTGTGTCCTAGACAACGTTTAGAGTCTCCAGCTGCTGCATTCTGTAGGTCACTCCTTTAACATACAGATTCTTCTTGATTCTACATAGTTATCTGTCTTCATTGCAAACTCTGTTATACTTCATTAGGTATGAGTTATCTTTAGTTTTTTTCTGAACGCATTTAAATAATGGCACCGTTCATCTGTTTTACAGAGACATTCATCATCATCATCATCATCATCGGGGAACAAGTCACTCGATGCTGAAACATAATCTATCACACTACACCATAAATGCCCAATAAATGTACAGTCACCGATTTGATAGTCAGTTCCGAATCTTCCATTCACGAGATATATGTTCAGAATTGAACACATTTCCAAAAGTATTTTTCCAAAGTTGTTTAGTACTTTTTCACATGAATATCTTTCCATCTCAAATCGTGTAAATAAAATCAACTAAGTAATCATTACTTTCAACATGGTGAATAACATCGTTCTACGCGTAGTCTAGCGTCACACCGGTTCTGCTACAATGGACCCGTGAAGATCCGGGGTAGAATAGGTCTTCAGCAACCCGTGCTTGCCGTAAAAGGCGACTGTGCTTGTCGTAAGAGGCAACAGACGGGATCGGGTAGTCAGGCTCGCTGACTTGGTTGATGAATGTCATCGTATCCCAAATTCGTGGATCGATGCTCATGATGTCAATCACTGGATTTTCTGGTCCAGACTCGATTATTTACAGATCGCCGTCATATAGCTGGAATACTGCTGAGTGCGGCGTTAAACAACAAACAAACAAATCCAAGAATGATAGAAACAGCTGGGTACTCTACCAGTATACTCACTAAAAAATACAGCGAAATCTCTACCCCATTTTGTCTATGCTTGTTATCATACCAGGTCGATCTCTCCGGTTGGATATATATAAATACACATACTGTATCTCTCCTGAAACCGAACATACTTTTATCAAACAGAATAGTAATAGCATTTTCTCCGTATCGAACATTAACAACATATCTCACCAATGAATATTTTATCAAAACCAGTATTCCTCCAGAATACCTCCCGAACTGAGACATTTTTATTTGTGGCTGGTGAACACAAAAGGTTATATTCTGGAAAAATGTCACTCAAGTAATTTTCTATTGACTATGTTTCTAATAAAGCAACAGTATCATGTTCAAATACAAAAGAAACAAAGCCAATATCGGACAGGTTGTTGGTTAAATCTTCTATATTCCTTGCAATGTAAGATATGCTTTTGCCTGTTGACTCGCTTTAACAGCCCTGGCCACCCGGTTATTACCCTGAGGCTGAGTTAACCTTCGACCTTGACGGCAGAACCCGCTCCTGATTCATAGCTGACGAAGTTCCACTTAAGTCGCGATCTGATGCTCATCACCTTCCAGAGTAGTAGCTGGCATGTCCTCAGTAACGAGCCAGCCATTCTTATAATAGCCCCTCTTATGGCGAAAAATGATTAACAACCAACTCCATCAACGCATTCCATCATACTAAGGATCAGAACTCATCAGCCACCCTTTGTAACTTGTACTAAACCTGGTATTGGTTTACCTACGTACTGTCAATACGTGACCAATACATTGTACATGTGGGGTTCCACATCAAACAGTATTCTCCTTCTATATCTATAACCTTCACCCCGTTATATTTATCAGTGTTTTTTTCTTGCTGAGGCATTATGAGAATGGGAAACACATTATGTCATCACTCAGGATCTCTGCAAAAAGATGGCGGAATAGCTACTACGTACACTCAGCTGCTACAGAAGAAGAGTTCATGCTGACGTATTTTTGTTTTGTAAAGTAAAACGACAATACTTAAGCGTTTAAGAGTGAGTGAGCTGGCTTTGCACGATGTTGAAGGTATGTCAAGGCTTGTCAGCCTAATATTTGAGGATAACCCATATGGGCAAAGATCGTACGTGCTGACTGATCAAGGAACACAATACTGTGAAAGCCGTTGGATCACCTCCTCTGTCGACGATGCGTTTCGGAAAATGTGGTTTATATCCACGTGAAACACTTACACAGCTATATCTTGTGACTAATGATTATATTTTGTTTTTATGCGTTTGCCCGATGTCTAATGATCTGTCGGACCGGTCATAATGTTAGGATTGTTCAAGTAACTGTTTGTGTTAGACCTGCAACGTGCTTAACATATTGTACCCATGTTGGAAATCAGCGTTTTAAATTACCAGGTTACCATATCAATCCCATCTTCTTTGACGCTATCGGTTGCATAATTTGCGATCTCTTTGTGTTCCAAGTAACCGGTGTTGTCTGTCGATTCCAGTTTTAGCCGTGAACACATAATATGAGGGCATCAAACCTTACTAAAATAGTGCTTTATTGTTGCGAACAATTCTGCGTGGATCTTCAGTTTTCTAAGTTTAGTCATGCCGACTATTCTAAACTTTGAGAATGCTTAAAAGTGTATAAAAAGTTAATTCAGCTTGGTCGATAAAGTATTCATTAATCAAAACTGATCAGAAAATTTACCCCACAGTTATCGTGCTAAAGCATTATTCTTTTCCCCACTATAATATTGAATAAACGGACACTTAATGTGGTCAAATATCGATATTTGTGAGAATGCTGATAATAACAGTTCATGCACAGTATTTTGTTGCATATTGCCATCAGTAAAACTTTGGCAGGAAAAGCTGATATCTACAGAAAGGGGTACAAAATGAAAATAGTTTTCAATTACTCCATTCCATGTTTCTTGCTGCACAGTCTTTCTCAATAAGGTCCACGTAATCTAACCAAACCGAGCAAACATGCCATAACCTATGGGGTCAAACTGCCTCTTCTGCGCCTCTGGTACGCGTTTGTATTGGCCTTGACGAACCATTGCCACTGCCAGCACCTGTTTGAGTAGGTCGGCGATGTTTCCGCCATCTATCGCCTTTTGAGCGTCCATCTGCCCTTTGTAACCCAACACACGGTACGGGTTGTATCGTTTTCCGAAACTTCCAAAGTTACTTGCGGCCTCGATGGGATCGAATATTCGTTTTGCGACAAGTTGATCTGACGATTCTTTGTCAGATAGGCCTGATTCTGAATCTGCAGAATACTCCTTGTCCTGTAAAGAACAACAATACATTACATAATGTGTTTGCGATATGCAAGAGGCGCTTTTGTAACTGAAATGGACCCATAAACTATGTTTGCGAAACATGATTAAGCACCAATCAGTGGGTATTGTGATTTTCCCAGTTAATCAGCCACTCACCGATACTTTCATATATATTTATGTTACGCTAGACAGGTTAAGACGGGACCATTATCCTTACTTGCCATGTTCAATATCGGTCATTTACTGTCCTCCATAGCCTGGTCAACCGCGAAATGCAATCTAGCTATATTATCAAAATCGGCCTGACAGGAATTGTGTGTTGCAGGCGGCTTTGGTTCCCTTATGGATCATCCGGGTTATCAGTATTCGAAAATAGCTTGACTTATAAGTTGTCTGGATGACTCCCCAACTCTGAGAGCAATTTATGCTTTATTACACACCTTTGCATCCAACATTGGATATCCCGCCACTGTGTTCACTAAGCATAATGCCGCCGCGCCGACCATCAGAGAATAAATAAAACTGAGACCCATTTTACTTTCTTGTTTGCTTCTTTGAACCTTCTGTTGGTTGTTTCGGTAGCTATTTGTCTGAAACACAGAAAAATAAAGACTCAAACAAAAGCTATTTAATTATCTTAAGGGCAATAGTATAATACCATATAAACATCCATTGCGAGAACGAAAGTTTTTTTTGTCTTAAAGCTCTCAGGAATAATCTTTGTCATTTTCCTTTACTTGAAAGATATGATCGGAAGTTTGGCGGTCGCTATAGTCTTGTATGAAATAGCTTAGCCACAGGCTTTTCATCTTTTTTAACCAACTGATAGAAAAGCGCTAAAAGCAACTGATAACAGCGATCTTTAGTTTCAAAGAGTACAATGACTTTTCGGCCATTCTACCTTTCAGGACACGACTTTGAAACGTGATAGTTTTAAATGGCTGATTACATACGCTTAAAGCCTGATTACTATGATGAAGGGGCTCTTTGATGTAAAACCTCAAGTCCATTGGTGTGAATTTAATTTGGACTCATTGTATCTCTCGTGAAAGATTGATATGCAATGCTCGTATCATGCTGTGCGTCGTGCAGATCTTACTGGATTGGAAATTTAATTATATACATTTCAAGTAACATATGCATTCCGATGGCCACAATATTGAATATACATTCCTTCATGCAAGTTTTAAAAAATTAATGCTCATAATATCACTGCAAAGCCGCTCGACACTCCAACACCCAAGCCAACAAAACTAGTTTGGGCCCACTTCTACTTAAACCCGAGTATTGAGAGACATAATATAACCTTAAAATGTGCACGTACAAAGAAGGAAGAATAATGTAATCTGTCGTGTCGTTTTAATTGGACTCCCCGATTCATAGAACTAAGGACATGGCATAGAATTTGGATACCATAAATATGTAATATTTGGACATCATGCCTAGACGTCCACTTAAAGCGACTTCAGGTGTCACGCGGGACCCTCGTGAACAGACAGTTTCAACACAACAATACTACAAAAGTACTACAAACGTGTCTGCCAGTATCGTGACAACAGAGGGTGACATAGACAGGTACAACATACCTACACTACAAACACGTCAGCCAGTGTCGAGACTGCGACAGAATTGCCTAGATAAGACACAGTGAAACACCAAGCAGTCATTAGACCAGTTTAAATGCAACCAGTGAACCATTATTCATTTTATGAAATTAATACAAAACAGAAATCAGAAATCAGTCATAATTTGTATAAAAAAATAAATGATAATTGTACGATAACTTTAGGGTACAACATTTCATCTGAAAAAAGATTGTCATTAAATGTTGTTTTAAATCTTTAAATGGAACCAGTGAAGAAGTATACTTGAAAAGATATCATACAGAACAGAGCACACTATTACTGTCCATGTAATCAGAAGAAATGTCAGAGGCAACAGGGTGTTAGGGTCATCCCAATATGGGTCGGCTTATTATAACTTTATTCCTATTGTTTCCAACATCAAACTAAAAACTTTCTTGAATTGAGACATGTAGCGATGTCGGGGCTAATCAAATTCTGCCACGAAGGGGAAGTCACATTTGAGAACCCTTCACACGAGACATAACTAAACAGACAACACCTGCTGATTCTGCTAAACTTTCCCCGATGATCAACACCGAGACGTTTGTTCACAATAAGAAAAGGTATGGTGATTACTGAAGTTAACGAATGGTGTTAAATATTGCCTTCTTCCAAATATCTGACGCCACGAAGCCCTACAGACTCTATATTCAATAATGTAAGGCAGCACCTGCGGCGACTTGTGGTTTATGGCCAAGTTAAGACACGTTCTCTGTAACTACATGTAATTAGACACACACTTATTAGACATTGTTATTGTCCTTTTAAAGAGATTATGTGAGTTCCTTTCTCGCTGTAACTTAAGCTCTTAAGTGGTAAGGCGGATAATATGATTAGCTACGATTGGCTAACTCCCAATACTGAAACAGATGTCTTCTGAGATGCTACACCCTGTTGTTGCATGTACGTCGCGATGTATCAGCGCTTCATCGTCTTGTAGCTCTCCAATATAGACATTAAATGTTTGGACAATGTTCATCATATTCAAACATTATTCAGATATTATAACTCTCTAATCAATGTTCAATCTTAGTTTTGTTTCTGTCCGCGTGTGAAGTGTTCAACTCGTGTGGTTTTGTGGCATACAGCACCACAGGGTATGTTTTGGAGTTTGCTGCCCTGTCTGTGGAACCAACATTTATGTCGAGGAGATATGTTTAAAAAATATACGTCGATTTATGATATATATATATACTACGCTGCCGACGTTAATAGTTAACTAGTTATCATTACCCGTGACTAAAAGATAACATCGATTGATTTGTATTGATCCCAAATCGGCTTGTTTACCCACAGGAACCCGGAGAGTAAAGTTGCACAGAGACAGTGAGTTAAGCCATTCGTATGAGGGACTCGTGTTCTCTTTAGACTGCTGATTTGTACCTTTGCTTCCGCTATACACCTTTATACATCAATCGCCACACTCAATCGAGAAAAAAAATTTTGTTCAGTATGATAAAGTTGAAAGCTCCACACCTTTCTCACATCATTGACGAAATGGACAAACTGGAAAGTTTTAGTCGATGTAATAACATTGTTCTTCATGGGGAGGGAAGCAGAAGGTGAAGAAATCGATGGCTTGCAAGGGACAGGTCATATCAATCTTTAATGATCATGTAACTTTTAAACCTACAATCATCTGACGTTGTCCGTGACCATCGTCCTGGCACAAACCATCATAATGCAGAGGACCATACCTTAATATACAATTATCAAGATTCCATGTATCAGACGAATCTGAAGCGACTTGACAACACGTCAAATGAACTGGGAAATGTTGCTACTTTAAGAACGGGAGTAGACAAAGCCTGGTGAACCTACGACCCGGACATTTTACTCTCCGCGGGAAACATCGCCAAGGTGACGCGCTGTTGCAAGCAGCAAAGTCAGAAGTGGAATATCGTCGTATAGTTCACTCCTGAAAGATAGAGGCCGAGGTCCGTATAATGTACTAACGGTAAAAAGTAACTATGCCACGTGAAATGTGGTGTAAGTGTTCAACAACATATACTGAGTCAAATTAAAAACTTCACAATTTTTAAAAGTAACCCCATATATGATATACAACGGACAAATGTATCAGAGAAGGTAATTTTTAATCATTAATGTCCAAAGAAGGATTCTAATTAACGGTGGTTACCATAATTTGTTCTAAGCACCTACGGTATTCGGTAATAACATTAACAGTTTAAATCATAAGTCCCAAGCACGAGAATCTGATGGCACACAAGTTCAGTAGCGTGTATGGCCACCATGTGCGTTGACAACTGCCACACAACGCCTCCGCATGGACCTTGTGATGCTTGTGAACACATGATTGGGAAGACGACGCCACTGTTGCTGCAAAATGGTGCCAAGATCTTGCAAATTCTGTGGTTGGTTCTGGAGAGTGCGCAGACTTCTGCCAAGAGCATCCCAGACGTGTTCGATGGGATTGAGGTCGGGAGACCTTGACGGCCAGTCCATGACGTTGACTTCCGCATTCTGAAGGACATTCCTTGTCAAAATTGCTGTGTGGGGTCTGGCATTGTCGTGTTGGAAGATCAAACCGGGTCTATGTGCTGCCATAAAAGGCAGAAGTTCTGGTTCTGGTGACAAGAAGCCTGGAACGTGCATTGCCACAGAAAGCACCCCACACCATGACACTTCCGGCCCGCAGTATGGCCGTCGTGCTTGAAGGTGAGCAGTTCTCAGACGGTTTCGAACAGTTTGCGCACTCAGTCTACCCCTAGACAGTTCATTTTTTGTTGATGTAGCCGTCAAAAATCGGTTACGGAGATGACGTAAGACAATCTGACGATCCTCTGCATGTGACGTCACACGTGGTCGACCTGGCCGAGGGCGATCAGCGGTGGTACCCGTTTGCTGGAGACGCGTCTGCACATTTGAAAGGCAAGGCACGACAAATGGCCGTAAAGTCTTTTGTTTTCTTGTGTTTTTCTTTTTTTATTAATGCCTGCTAACAAGTATGGCTGAAAACACGTGCGGTATTATGGCCACGTGACCAGTTGCACGTGAAAAACCACTTTTGCCACTATAGTGCTGTGCACATCGTTTTGATCGATTCACCTGCACAAAAACGGGTGTTATCTGAAGACAATACGTGGCCATAACTGTTTAAATACACAATAAGGGCCCACAATGATAACTGGTCAAAATGTTAAAATTTTAGGATTGTGAAGTTTTTAATTTGGTTCAGTATATTTAGTCATTCGTCTGATCAATGTTTTATCATTGCCAGAACCCTTACTTGGTAACAGGAGACAGAGATACTAAATTAACTAAGGTCATCATCGGGTGTGGCAACCATTTACGTTGCTACCGGCGAGATAGCGGCGCATTGTTGTTCCAAATGGCAACTGGCCCAGCTGCGCTGGTGTTGCAGACTGCTTTTAGGTAGTGTCGTAGGCATCCTTCTATCTCATCCCAGACTTGTTCTATGGAGGAGAGGTCTGGACAAACAGTCGGCCTTAAGAAATCTGTTACAAATCGTGCAACTTGTTGGCAGCATTTTACTCCTGCAACGTGACGTTACGTCTCTTCTTTTCAACACATTATTGAACATGATCTCGAACGATGTCGTCCCGGTAGCATGCGCAACTTAAAATGCCATTTACGATGATGAGCTGTGTTCTCCTATGAGTTGTGATGCAACCGCATACAATTACACTTCCACCACAAACTGACGACGTTGAGTGAAGCAAGCGTTGCGAAAACCTTCTACTAAACGCCTTCAGACCCTTGCACGACAATTAGAGCCGTCCAGATGAAAACTGGACTCATCTGTGAACAGTACACTGTCGGAGTCTTGTCGCCTGACGGTGACGTGGAAGCAAAATTGATGTCGGGGCCATACTATTCTGATCTCAGAACGTAATTTTTATAGCTCTTCGCTCTTCCGACGGTTCCTCCTATACATCAGATTTAATAATTTATAATATGTTTACACTAATATATTTATACGT